AATTTTGCAGTAGTGGGAGGTGTTCTTAACAGAGTTGCTAAAAGAATAAACGAAGATTATGAGGTTTATTTTATGTTATGAATTTTTGTGTTATCAATTAATGAACTTTTTTATAACAATTATATGTATTCATTTTGTATATTTATAGGAAAGACATAAAGCTAAAACTGTAGTACAAATTCGTGAATTCACCAACAAATTGGGAAGTCTACAATTAGAACATCAATCTTTAAAAATTCGTATCCTTTTTTTATGAGTTTAGTATTTAAATTTTCGTATACTTCTTTATAATACTTTCCTTAACAAATAATCAGATACTGGTATAGCTGAAGAGATAATGGCGCACACTGTTACACCAGAATTCAACAAAGCTCTAGAGGTGCAACAAAGTATTTATATATTTATTTAATTCACGTTCCTCATTATTATCATTTTACAATTGATTTTAATGATTTTAATTGCCATTATTTTTATAGATTTGGTAGCTGGTATAGATGTTAACACACAAAATGAACACATAGAAGAGATGATCAATCGACAGGTTCCACTTACTCAAGTTTTACGATTATTATGTCTACAAAGTCTTGTAAATGGTGGATTGAAGCAAAAGAGTATCGAATTTTTCAAAAAAGAAATACTACAGGTATAGGGGACTATTGCCAAAAAAAATCTTACATTCTTAATCATTGAATAATGATAGTTATTATCAATATACTAATATAGACATACGGGTTCGAACACCTTCAAACGTTACTGAATCTTGAACGTCTTAACATGTTCTTTAAACAATCGTCTAGTCGCAATCCATATGCTTCTATTCGTAAAACTTTGCGATTAATTGTGGATGAAGTTGAAGAACATAATCCTCAGGATATAGCATATGTATATTCTGGATATGCTCCTTTAAGCGTACGTTTGATACAATGTGCTACGACCAAGAGTGGAACATCTTCGACTGGTAATGGATGGAAAGGATATGAAGAGGTGTTGAGAATGTTGCCAGGTAAAACTTTCGATGAAGTACAGAGGCAAGAGGAAGGAGCCATACGTCCTAAAAGTAAGTACACACCATATGTGGATGCATGGGATGGGACTATATATTATATAGTCCCATCTCATGCTTTTGCTGTGGGTGTCCCCATATTTGATTTATAAATATATCGTAGTCTAATTTTTATCGGATTAGGAATGGTACAAGGACAGCATCCACGTGTCACACTTGTATTTTTCTTGGGTGGATGCACATATACGGAAATCTCTGCAATACGCTTTTTAGCACAACAAGATGATGGTATAATTTTTACTTTACGTTCTTTCTCATTGTTCGGAGCGAAGCAGAGGATCTACATTTGGCTTCGGATAATAGTTTCTATTTGTCTAGTTTATTAAAAATTACTAACGATGCATTTATTAAACTTATTTTAGGTCAGCGAGAATATGTTATCGCTACCACACAAATTATCAATGGAAATTCTCTATTGAATTCAATCATGTCTTAAAAAATAAAGCCGTCAAGTTACAGTATATAGGTTTGGCTACGAATTAACGGCTCTTTTTTTATTGTATTTTAGATAAGTTATTGGGTAAATAGGTTTTTTTCATTGTATTTTAGATAAATTATTGGCTTTTGGGATTTGTATAATTTTTAAGTTCCGTGTACTACAGCTAATAGAGATGTGCCCACGCGCGAAATGCTGGCATCGTCCTCGTGCGAATCTATCATATGATATATCTCGCGCGAAATAAATTTTTAATAAAGAAAATCTTAGTAATCAATGATAAACGTTTTTTTTTTTGAAGAAGATAATTAAACTAAAATAGGTTATCATTAAGCCTATAATCAAATTTTCGACTTGTTATCTCACATTCGCGCGAGTCATATGATATGCGAAATATACACTAGGTTTATCTCGTTATATAAGATATATTTATATTATTGGCTATATGTTTGTGCGATACAACTATTTATTATATAAATTCGTTAAATCCATCGTAAATTTATTCTGAACCCTCAGTGCAGTGGGTACCCTTATGTCCAGAAAATCCCGGGCTGAAGATCACTTCCGACCCTATCCGGATCCAATAAAATCACAGGAT